CGATGACCGAAAATTGGTGAAGTGCATTTTTTTTTTTGCAAAGTTATATTGGCAAAGTATCAAGAAAATAGGTTGAATGGGAAAAGTGCAAAAAAACCGTATAGTTATGTGGGTTAAGTATAATTTTCCCAAATAGAAACTGCCCAGCTCCAACCTTGGAGCATATAGAGCGCTTTGTGACCTCAAAGGACGTCGACACACAATTGGCGTACTTATTGTCAATCTTTCTCGGCGAGGAGACTGATCGCTGGTCAGACAACAAGGCGGGCCGAGCTGATTATGCTCTCACCTACATCATCTAGGTGTGACCCCCTCTTATGCCTTTTAAATACTTGAAAACTTGAGATCGACCTCTTAATACTTTCGGTTACCTTTTATCATACAGGCACTATATGCCCTTGCCCCCATGTTGAAAGAGGCGCTGGCGATTGAGACCCCATTCCCAAAGGTCGCCCGACTTGAGACTAAGCTTGCGCACAACGAGGTCGCCAATGTGAGCGTCCACGCCTTAATTAGCCACCAAGAGGACCGAGCTCAGTCGACTTGGTGAGGAAAATGCCCAGTTGAAGACCGACTCAGCTGAAGGTCGAGGCGTCCCAGCGGAAGGCCCAACTAGACCAGCTCGTCAACTCGACAAATGAGCGTGAGGCCCGACTCGCGATGAAGGTCTCGCCTATATCCCGACCTTGGCTCTAGGGAAGAATTCAAGGAGCAATAATGGTTGGAGCTTTTCAACTGCTTCAAGAACTCCATAGAGTTCCTCCACAGGCTCTTGTTTGCTACCAAACCGCACTTTGCCCTGGCGACCGACCAGACGCGGCTCAAGCTGCTGCGGGTGGTATACATGCGAGTTTGATGAACGTGCTTGACCCATATTGAGAGCTTGGAAAACGTCTAGCTACAATCGTTAAATTAAATGCTTGTTGGGAGAAAATCCATCTCTTATTGTTTTTATTTTATTTTTATATATATATTTTTTATTTTCTTATTCTGAAAAAAAAAAATTGAAAAAGGAAAAATAACTAAAATAAATGAAAAAAATAAAATAATAAGTGGGGTGATCGAGTGGTTTGAGCGAAGCGTGGAGAAGATGATTATGCTCAAGTGTGCAAAGATTGGTACGGTGAAGCTCGCTCGACTTATCAACGAGTTGCTTATAGTATGCAACTTCTTTTTCTTAAATTTAATTCTTTCCAAAGAACAAGTTTGAGGGAGAGAAGTGTCGTATATCTTGAGTTTTTATCAATTTCTTGTGTATAATATAGTTGCTTGCATGAGTTTTTATTTTTATAATTTTTTATTTGTTTTAGGTTATTTTTGTATTTTAGGATGCAAGTTTATTTGTTTTATTTGAAAAGTAACAATTTTCTTGAGTCATATTTTTTTGCTTTGTCTTGTGTTATATATGCTTTGAATGATTGGTGGATGCACAAGATTTGTTTGGAGTTTCTTATTTTAATTGAGATTTTGTGATGACGATCATAAATAATATTCCTTTATGAATTGCTTGATTTATTTGAATCAATGATTTTTTTATTTTTATTTTTATTTTTATTTATTTATTTATTTATTTTTTTTACCTCGGATAGGATTTGAGCCTTATTTGATTTCTTGTGTGTAATTGAATACTTAAAATACTAGAACTTGCGTTGGTTTTTATTTAAAAATATGATTATATGTGTGAAGCTTTGAAATTATTTAGACAGTTTTTTTCATCATACATATTTTATCCTCTTTTATTTGTTTTCTAAAAAATCTATCCGTAGTAGTCAGTTTCAGTCTTCATAGCCTTGTGTTAATGATTGTATATTATTTGGAGATGTTTGGATTGAGTGAAGCGATATGTGATGATGAGCTATGGTGATTTCAATTTTGGAATTTAATGAGTATGAGATGAGTTATGATTTGTTTATGTGATTTGAAGCATTTGATCGAACAAAAAAAAAAA